AAATTAAAAATTGTTATTTTACGGTGATAATCTTGTTTTCTTGTGCCCAATAATGCATAATTTCATTTGATAAACACGTTTAGATTGAATGGTAATTTATAATCAGTCACAAGAACGTCAAATGTGAATCACTTGAAAAAAACATGGGGGTGCTTAACTTTTTTCCAGGTGTATATATGATGAACATCTGAACTTGGTGGTGAGTTGATCTTGTGAATGTGTAAGCTATAAACTTTGGTTCTGTAATTGTTATAAACATCTTTTAAGTAATTGATAAAGTGGTAGTAAATTATACAATTCTTATTCTAGCTTGTGTATGTAACCCTTTGGGAACTGACCCTACTGTTGACCACTGCAACTCAATAACTGGCCAGTGTACTTGCTTGCCCAATGTTATCGGAAAAGCTTGTGACCAATGTTCTCCCAATCATTGGAACTTAAGCAGTGGAGAAGGATGTAAATCATGTAGTTGTGACCCAAAGGGGTCATTATCAGAAGACTGCAATGAGGTAAGATGAGTAATTGTGCAATTATAAGATAGGCTCAGAAAAAGCATGAGATGTTGAATGAAGTGGATAAAATATTTGCAAATGAAAAATAATTGCATATTTTTAATTTGTGGTTTCAATGATGAAAAAATTAATCTCAAAAATAATGGGAATATGATTTGATTTATTTTTAGTTTTCTGTGAAAGACTACGTAGTATAGAAAATCTGTTTTGAATAATTTTTTCTCATATCTCCTTTTTGCTCTTGGCTTATCCAAAAATGTTTTAAGTTGGAGAAATATATATATATGTTAAAAATTGAAGTGTACAAACATTTGTCAGAATTTATTTTTACTGGTATAATTCAGGAGATTGTGGAGTTTTCAGAATGTGATTAGATATTGTACGTCAAAAAATATATAATGCTTAAATGACTAATATTATTTTTTAAACAGTGTATTTTGATTATTGAACCTTTATAATTTCAGAAGTTTGTGTTAATTCTTTGATTGTCATCTTTATAAAAGTCTAAAATGTACTAGTTGCTATAATTATTTTAAAAACTTATCGTTTAGATATATGCAGTTCCTTTCATTAATATTATCTTTTTTTATGTACTCATGGGATAATGGCATAATTCTTGTAATGAATTATACAAAGGATATAATTATTTTATAAATGAGTAGCATAGTTTTTTTTTTTCATTTTGAAACTTTTAAGATATTTATGATGTAGTATTCATTTTAATTTAAAAGTATTGTGATTTCCAAATGCTATAAAATTGCTTCCTAGTTTGATGGCCAGTGCCTTTGCAAAAAAGGACGTGGAGGTAGGACTTGCAGTGAATGTGAAGACTACTATTGGGGTGACCCGGAAGTGCAGTGTTTCCGTAAGTGTTGATTTATAAGTGACACACTTAATAGGCCATTCTTTTTACACGTAAAACATTTTTCCAATAATTAGAGTTAATTACCAATGAATAAAAAGTTTACTTGGCTAATGTTTAGATGGTATTAACTTGCAGTAATCTATAATTTAATGTGAATTGTTAATTCTTTATTAAATTGACTCTATCCATTGAATAGAAAGTATACCACTGAGTCATATTTTTATGAAATTTTATTGTGAAACATTTTTAACGTTTTTTTTTTTTAGTTTAAAAAGAAATGTTATTTCTTATCTCTTTCAGTGTTATCAGGATGCCTGATTACAAATGGATAGTAATTTGAATTGTTCAAAACTGATTTATTAATTACTTACAGTGGGTTAATCTTCTAACTCAGTTGGTAAAGCACTCACTCATAGTTGTAGAGTATGTGGTAACAAGTTCAAATCCTGCATGTGAGAGAGGAAAAAATTTTAATTACCACAAATGTAACCTAATTACTTACAGTGGGTTAATCTTCTAACTCAGTTGGTAAAGCACTCACTCATAGTTGTAGAGTATGTGGTAACAAGTTCAAATCCTGCATGTGAGAGAGGAAAAATTTTAATTACCACAAATGTAACCTAATTACTTACAGTGGCTTGTCCTTTTTAGGAATGGACAGTTTCAGAAATGTAACTGCAGGGCCAATTTTGTATTTGAAAGGTTAATTAGAATTATAGTTTATCTATGCAACCATATTTGGCCACTTTAGACATTTAGAAATTTATTTTAAATTTAGAGAAGTTAAAAATCTTTTATAATCAAATTGGAAGATAGAATGGCTAATCCCCATTTAAGATAAGTCATGTAAGAAGAAAGAAAGGTTTGGACCAAAGACTACTCTTAGGGGCTTTATTTTTCCATCAGCCTTCCTCGAGTACCGTAAATGACCATAGGAGACAAGCACCCGTGAAAGATAATACATTTGTGCAATTACATGCTTCACACAACATTAAAAGTGGCTTTGCATAGCAGAATGATAAATAGTTAGGTACTGGAAATAGAGCTGCTACATTTAGGTTGAAAACACAAAGTCAAAATGCTTAAGTGGAATTTCTTGACTTAATCAAAGTAAGTTGGCTTTCCTGAGTAATTTGCTAGGAGTAAGGTTTTCCAATGGTAACAATTTTCATTAAAATAGTTACATTTCAGTAAGTTGATGAAACTTTATAGCTTTCTTTTTGGATGGGGAAGCTTTTTGTTTTGTTTATTTTAGTTTGTTTTTTTTAAATACAGACTAGCATCATTGAAGCTGATAATGTATCTATAAGTTGTGTTATCAATAGTATAGGAAAAAATATAGAAATCCTTAGACATCAAATGTTATTTTTTATTTAGTATATAAAAATATGAAACCCTTATACTTTCAATGTTATTTTTTATTTGTATACAAGGATATGAAACCATTATACTTTCAATGTTATTTTTTATTTAGTATATAAAAATATCAAACCCTTATACTTTCAATGTTATTTTTTATTTGTATACAACAATATGAATCCCTTATACTTTCAATGTTATTTTTTATTTAATATACAAGAATATGAAACCCTTAGACCTTCGATGTTATTTTTTAATTAGTATCAAAGAATATGAAATCCTTAGACCTTCAATGTTATCTTTTTATTTAGTATATAAGAATATGAAACCCTTAGAACTTTAATGTTATTTTTTATTTAGTATGTAAGAATATCAAACCATTAGACCTTCAATGTTATTTTTTATTTGTATACAAGAATATGAAACCCTTAGACCTTTGATGTTATTTTTTATTTCACATGTAAGATTATGAAATCCTTAGAACTTCAATGTTATTTTTATTTGTATACAAGAGTATGAAACCCTTAGACCTTCGATGTTATTTTTTATTTCACATGTAAGAATATGAAATCCTTAGGTCTTCAGTGTTGTTGTTTATTTAATATATAAAAATGTTTAAGTATGCAGTTGATTATTATGTTTCTGTAATTATTTTATGTAAAGATATTAGAGATGCATCAGATGCAAGTTAATTGTAGTATCTGTGTTTACTTAATGGAAAGTTTGAATTCAGTTAAAAAGTTTCAATCTGCTACCAAAGTTTCATGCTGTTGCACATTTGATAAATAACATTTTCATTGAATATCTGTAAACATATTTCCTTTAGAAATACTTTTTTTTGTTCATTTTTATAATTGCTGTGTTCTCCTTAACAGCATGTAAATGTGATTTTGAGGGAGCTGCTTCCATGCAGTGTAGACATTCTGATGGTATGTGTTTCTGTAAAAAGGGGGTAATTGGAAAGTACTGTGATCAGTGTGAACGAGGATATTTAGGAACAGCACCAAACTGTAATCACTGTGGAGAATGTTTTGACAAATGGGACAATACCATACTAGACTTAAAAGGTCAGTTGATATGCTTATTTTGAAACATTGGTGTTAAATTAATGGCATGAACAATGTGAAAAAATTGTTCTTTAAAATAATTATTATTAATATTTTTAATATTATACTTTTATAATATTTTAAAGTAAAATTATATACTAATTTGAAAGAAAGTATTTTATTTTGTATTTATCTACTTGAAATAAAAATAATCATATAATTTGTTTAAGAGGACCAGAAGAGTCTACATATACAAATCAATATTAAAATGGAGACTGTAAAGGATTAATTAGTTCTATCTTCTTGGTGTTTATTTTGAATATAAACCAGCCCTTGAAACTACTTTCAATAGAGTTATTGAGTATTAAGTTAGAATTATGCAAGGTTTGTCATATTATGGTTGATGTAACGTTATACAAAATATTAACCAGTGCTCGAGTCCCAGAATGCATTATATCATTTCAACAACAGTTACAAATTAATTAAAGATAATATACCTCTACCAGTGGTTTTTTTTTTACTTAATGAAGACTAAAAAGAATTTGACCAAAATAAAAAATTAAAACAATAAGTTAATAAAATAAAAACTGAAACTAAAAAAAAATGTAAAAACTAGTGATAATACTCTTTTTCGAAGACATTTATCTACTGTTACTATTGCAAAACTAATCATCTGATCATATTGTGCTCAAGGTGTATGGTACAAGGCATAAACAATAATAACTCAATGCACTTCAGGTGTAACAAAGCAAAATAAAGGAACTACATAGAGTATGGATTTGTTGTTTGTTTCATCAATGGCATGTATTAGTTTATTTACAAGAATAGGATTGTTTGTTTATTCGCTCCTTTCACATCCATGCAAAATGTTGCATACACATAATAAATTTCAAAGGTTTCATTCCATTTTATGCTCAGGAAGTGTGAGGTTGCTGTCATGATTTCCCAGAATGAGATGCTGCTGATATTCTTTATCACATGTGTGTGGTCAGATTTGAACACGTTAGTTTGCTGTAAAAAATGTTTTTTTATTTATTGTTGAAAAGGTTCCGAAACGTACTGGAATGCCATTCTGGTGCATTCTGCTATGACTTGAGCACTGGTTTTATCCAATTATACACTACCTGTCAAAATAGTTATATATTTGTCCATACCTAGACTTGTTACTATATATATTTTTCATTATAAAAACAACAACTTACAGATCAAACATTGATGCTGATTGAAAAGTTCAAAGAAGTGAATGACACTGGAACAACAGGACTGTACACCAAAGAATTTGAAGAAATGGAAAGAAAACTCAATGAAGTACGGTTAATCTTAGCTGGAGAAAATGTAACAAAACTTGACACTAGTGAAATAGAAGATCTTTTAAACCTAATTAAGTAAGTTAAAGTTGTTTTTTCTGTTTTTTATTGCAAGATTTGTGATTCAAAAATTAAAATCAATAAATCAGTTATTATTTGTGAGTTATATTTTAGACTTTAAAGTAGTTTTTGATTGTTCAACATTATCAAAACGTGAAAGTACTAAGTAATTTAGTTGATATGCAACACTGTCTTTACTCTCATACATGTTTATCATATATTTTGTTGGTAGGGTACAACAATATTCACATTTTATAAGTTGTCAATGGATTGTGTGTGAGAGAGGTTTATCTTTAACAATTAATGGTTTGTAAAGTAAGTAGAAATAGGTAATGTTGATTTGTCCCTGATTGTTGATGTTGTTAAATATATGAACTGCTTTTGATACCCACAAAATATAGAAGTTTCTGTTCATTATCTTGTAGAACTTTGAAAAATGTGAAAGTGGGTGTATTACAGTTTTAAATATCTTTTTTTTTGTATGCCCTAACTGCACAACTCTGAAACACAAGTATGTCAACTGAGTGATTTGATGAAATTATATAAACCAACTGATTTATAAAACCAGTCTTGTGAAGAACACAGAACACAATGAAATAACTATGTAATCATATCTGTTGTAGCTTTTGTAACTATTGTACCACATTAGTCTTCCTTTTATAGATACTTTATGAAGCATTACCTTTTATTTCTCCTAAAGGCCTAGCATATATCAGTAGATACCCACAATAAGTAAAGGGAGAAGATAACTTCATATCTTTGAAAACTATAATACTTTTTATTCAAAACTGAATAACTACAAACTAAATTTTCCTATTGAACAAAAAACAAAGACCAAATTATACAGTGTTTGTAGATTATTTCAAAACCAGTAATTCTTGTAATTTACTTTTATTTAACATAGTCATTTCAATAACTATCAATATGTGAAAAACATTTATACAAAAGTATGAAAACCATTAATGTAAATAGATCATTATACTAATAGAAATAATAAGTTCTTTTTAAGCTCTTTCTGAGTTTGCTAATTGGTTTATGTATAAATATAGAACGAACTTAACACACAGTGAAGCTCAGTTAAAAGACACTAAAGTTAAGCTGGATAACACAACACAAAGGATATATGATGCTGAACTTGCCCTAACGGACTTGAGGAGGCGAGGTGATAATCTAGAAAAGGATGCAGAAAACCTAAAGAACAATGCAACACAACTACAAGAAGCTGATATTGAGGGTAAGCAATAGGAGATGTGTTTTCTAATTATTACAATTGAATTAGTTGAAACTTGTTATTTTCTTAAAATTATAATATGCTAAATATTCTACTTTTTCTTCATGTCTTTTTATGTCTCTGCAGAGAGACATACTGTTTTTCCGTTGTTTCTTTCTTCTTACAAACACTTTCCTTCAATTCTTGGTAGGGTTATACCTTGTTCCAGTATGCTTAGACACCTTTTTCATTTCTTTGATTTAGGACTTTTTAAGTATTTTATGGGGTCAAGGGTAAAACAACTCAAAAAATTTATATTTTGTGCTTCTGTGCACTCATATTTATAGCAACCAAGATGAAAAATTGCCACAAATATAAATTTTCATACACCCAACACACTGATATACAAATAAGTTGGATTTACCCATTTTTGGTCATTTGAGGAGAGTTAAAAGGTTAAATAAACCCATAATTTTAGGGGTTTTGGTCAGTTACTTAGCACTGTTTTGACCAATTTACATGGAATTTTGGTACAAAGATACTTTTTTACAGGCAACAACACACATTAACAGACATAAATGTTGGACTTTTCCATTTTTAGTAAATATAGGTGGATCAAGATGCCATGAAAAGCATAAATTTAGGTTTTTTTTGACAATTACTCCACTGTTTTTCAGCCAGTTTACATGGGATTTGGTACAAAGATACTTTTTTTTTACAGGCTCCAAACAAAGATATAAACAATTTTGGAATTTGTATTTTTTACTCATTTTTTCAGTGAGGAAAGCAAAATTTAGGGTTTCAATGAACTATTCATGTGTATGTCAACTAACTTACATGACATTTAGTTCAAAGATACCTTCTTCTAGGTCCCAAGCAATAATATTAATAATTTAAAATTTTCCTGTGTTGTTCTTGATTATTCTGGTGTCAAGATTGGCCATTTTGGGATTGCATGGCAGGGATGTTGCATTCACCCGTGAATGTTGGCCTCTTTAATTTCAAATTTTGTTTCTAATTGGAAAATCAGAAATCATCATTATTGTAACTGAGACAGAAAACAAATAAAAGAAGCTTTTTAGAAACATGTAATGAAGTACTTTTAGTAGTTTTAAAAAAGTGTGAGATATTTCCTTCTATTTTTGTAAACAAGTTTCTCTACTAAAACATCCAGATAGTTTAATAAGAAAATTGCTGCAAACAGTGCAACCTTGAATAAACATTGTTTTTTTATGATAATTTTAGTACTTACAGTATTGAGAATTATTTCTGAGTTTGTTTATAATTAATATCAATGTACAGGAGCGTTTAGAGAGAAATGGATTTTGTTTACTATATATACTGGATATGAGTAAATTGTGGATGTCAAATTATTATGTTAGGAAAATGGTATCTATCTGCTGATATACGATGTTATCCTTCAACATTTTAATAACAGGTTTTATATTACTCCTTGGCTAGAACTGAGAAATTTTGAAGAACAGTTTTTCTTTCTACTGCGTATAGTCCTGACCTGGCATCATTCTGGTCCTTTAAGGTTTTGTGTGTGTGGACAACATTTCCAGGCAACTGATGTTTTTAGAGCAGCTATATTTAATTGGATTTGTAACACTACACCTACATTTTACAAGCTAGTATTGTACTTAACTACACATCACAAAATCACTGATGTATATTTATTGGCTTTATTTTAATAGGGTTTGCCTTTATGAAATAAAATTCAACTTATTTTAAATACCTCATAATTGCTTAAGGAGGAACCTAAGTTATAAAATGTGTGTTTTTGTGCATCAGTATGTGTATTCATTTCATGGGATCTTCTTATGTGAAAAAATTCTTTGGTTACCATCCTTTATCATGTTTAAAAGAGGTGTTGTTTTTAGAAATTTAAAATTTTACAAAAATATTTCTCCAATGAAGGAGCTTTCAACATAACTAAGCAAGCTCAGACAAAGTCTGAAGCAGCAGAAGAACAAGTAGGAGTTGCCCAAACTGTCCTTGACCAGTCTGCCAGGTTGAGGTACGAGACTGAAGAGCTATTGGAGCAGGAAGAAATTTACTTCAATAGAACGTATGATGAAAATGTAGAACTTTTGACAAATATTTCTGATGAAGTATCCTCTATAGATGCTGGTATAGCTGACATTAATAGAATAGTAAGTATTTATCTGTACTTCTTCTTCAAATGATGTTAACTTGTGATATTTTTGCTTCTGAAATCAGGCTTTTTTCAAGTTCTGTGGTAAAAATATTTAAATACTTCTTTATTGCTATGTCATTATATATATATATTTTTTTCTAAATAAATTGTATAATGTTTGCATGCTCTTTCTGATTCTACATACCTCCAAAATTGCCACATACACACACACACACATATATATATATATATATATTTATATTGTAAATATGCCTACATAAAAATACAGAAAAAGAGAGATGCATATGTATTTTTATTGTAGGCATACAATAAATTTTTATGTAATATATCTATAATAAAATAGAACTGTGCACCTAGAATGCAAGTAATATAATAAAATGTAAGCTTTAATAGTTATTTGAAAATTGGTGTATTTATCAAGAAATGCAAATGGAAGTATTGATTTATGTTGCATTTAATAACTGTTATTTGATGGAAAAAATGAGTCTATGTAATTTATAAAATTCCACATTTGTCACTGTTTCTTACTTACTATCAGATTTAAACCACATTTATACTTATGTTACATTATTGAATCAGGTAAAAAAAAAACATTCACTGCTTTACATTGAACAAATGAGAGTATTTTTCAGACTTACTTTTAAGTGTTGTATAGGTGCCATTTTTGCTCCATTCAGATGAGAGTTTCTTGAATATCATCTTACCATTCAGTGTTCAAAAATCAGAGCAGTAATATGTTAAATATTAAATTGACTTTTAATGACCTGTAGTGATCTTTTTACATTGTAGATGGGGTACATTTATATGCTCTGAATTGGTAATAATATAACTTATATTTGATGTTTGCACTAACTTACTTTGATTGTATAGGTGTGTGATGGAAGTGGAACTGTTGACAACTGTGACCTTCTCTGTGGTGGAGCTGGTTGCAGAAAATGTGGAGGAATCAGCTGTAGCAAAGGAGCTGTTACACTAGTTAAAAACGCCCTTGATTTAGCTAAGGAAGCAGAAGACATCATAGTTGTTAAAGAAGCAGCTGCAGATGATTTGCTAAACAAGGTTTAGTACATGGAATTTTTAATTTGTTTTTTGTTATTTCTGTAAAAATTCTTAGATTTGGTATGGATATATTGTGTGTTTGGTGGTGTATGGGTGACACGGCTGCTCATTTGTATGGGAGGGGAGTTGAGATGCTAGTCATTTATTTGTTTGTTTTTGAATTTTGCACAAAGCTACATGAGGGCTATCTGAGCTAGCCATCCCTAATTTAGAAGTGAAAGACTAGAGGGAAGGCAGCTAGTCATCACCACCCACTGCCAACTCTTGGGCTACTTTTTACCAACAAATAATGGATTGATGGTCACATTATAATGCCCCCCC